GATGCTGCATTCCACATCTCCCAAGTTAATTAATCCGACGACGAATTTAAAGTCACAAAACACAACCTGTCGCCACAAGCCATATGACAATGGCTGCCTCCGTGTCTTTTGTCATCACAATTAGGCTCAGGTTTGAGGAAGAGCCGAAGCACGTGATTACTTCCGTACAATAATTAACGACTTATATGTAGCTGTCCTGCATATAGGACACTGGCACCTAACAGGCCAAGCAAATGTTTCCGACCCCTACACCGACCTACCATCCCGATGTGCGAGAAAGTGGGTTTTTGTCCACAACTGGCGGCTTTTGTCGGCAACCTCAACTTGACACATCTTTCCGCATTCTTGTACATCTACTTAAGCTCGAACAGTGCTTTTCGCTGGAATATCTAAGTTTAACTAATCATTCTTCCCAGGCACTGACAACGAGCTTGAGCCACCAGGTTATCCAGGCTGCGGCTTATTTAACCGGCGGAAAACGCAAACTTCCATTCCATCTACGTGATTCTAACAGCCCGGTAAAAGGGTGCCGCGTTTCAGATTGTTATCGCAGCTCAATCAATACTAAGCATCCCGTGTGAGTTAGAATAGGCGGCCGGCAACTCTGAAGTGTAAGGTGTTTTGAATCTGCTTGGAATCAATGGGATCGTTGAGTCTGCGTGGAATATCCGGTTTATATTTGTTATAAACGTCCTGTCGTTGCTACGTCACCGTATCTTCGAAGCTAGTCTGCTCAACTTTCCTGATAGCATAACCGCCAATTTCATCTTTGCTATAACCGTCTTTATAGGGTCTACTAATTGAGCAAGTTCGCCAGGAGCATGCTGGGCGTTACCGGTGTTCTGCAAACAATGAAGCCGGATTCCAGAATGCCGTGATCAGTCTCGAAGTACTGGGTGCGTTCTACTATTTCTTGCAACAATCGATAAATCTCAGTTTTCAGCTACCTTTCATTTCTGCCGACTTGATTACGTGACATATTGCTGGAGCTTCGCTGCATTCGTTAAACTCTCTTCGTGCTTGCGTTTGGGACATAAGCACGCTAGTTGGGATCTAAGAGTCAATTACAGAGTGCTAAATACTCAAGGGACTGGACCAAAGTCGTCAACATACAGAGGTCTGGATACATAAGGTTTACATGGAGAGCGTTCAGGCAGTGAAAAATACGGTCAGCTTAGAGAGGTGACTAGGATGCAGAGGTCATCAACCTTGGAGATTTTACTGTAGTTCCGAATGTGAACGAAATGTATCCAATTTGCTTTTATAACCAGCTTGTCTGTAATTGGTAACCATAGGTGGTCATTTTGACACTCCAAGGCACAAATTGCTACTCCCGTGAGTCGTACATAAATTCCGTTCTCCCACCCAAATTTCCCCCTGTAGTACCACCAAAGCTTCGGCGTCCACCTAAGCTGGAAGTATCTGGTCGCCTCAATTCGGTATTGCAATTGCACTGCGAGATTGAGAGTGGCTCTCCGACACCAACGGTGATATGGGAACGTGACGGACTGACCTTCAGCCGAACCAAAAGTTACTATACTACCACTGAATCCGGCTTGTTCATCTTTAATTCGTTGAAGTAAGTTCATGTATTTGCGATAGTGCTGGAAATGTTTGTTATCTGGAAGGAACAGGTAAAGATTATCACCTAAGCGAAAGGCACATTTTCCTTGGTGCAAACGAGTGAAGTGCCCAGTTGGTACAATTGGATGCAGAAGTGATCGTGTACCTGCACAGTCATTTACTGTATCCCCTTCGAATCCATCGTGGTTTATGAGCTGCCTTACCACCCTGTTTGAATTAAAACCATCGCGTTCACTTCCTACTTGGCTCCGTACTTCCAAGAGTAACTCTTTCGCTTGTATGTTTTCATTCTGACCCGACAAACGCCAGTTGATCCACTAAATTTAAGGTGAATGAAATGTGGTCACATCCGTCACCTCACGAAAATCGATTTCCTTCCTTTTACGGAGATATGTGTTGCATTTAAACTAAACCCTCCGGACCTCTAGGCCGGGTTTCATTTACGAAATTTGCCGATGCATCTGGCAGCAGTGCACAGAAAAAGAAGTAAACAAAAGACCAACGGACTCTTGGAGAATCATTTGTTGATCAATCACCCAAAGGATATCAATTGCCGGGACCTTATCAAAAGGGGGAGCCTCTTTATTCCTGTCTTAAGCATTACCCTTTACTACCAACTTTCTCCTCCTTGGTGGCAACCGGTTGGCAGCTGCCAAGCTCAGTTGGTAGTGAGTCTCTGCATGGTTAATATCGTATTTGACGGGCGATAATCTGTGTGCTGAGGCATTTTGCTGTGTTCGGAGCGTTGCGTCCCGGGACTTACACCAGATTGTTCCTTGCACAACCTAACCACCATGATCGTAGGCCACCTAAATCCGTATTGCCCTAATGCATGTAGACAGTACTCTGTAACAGAGAAGGAGTGCGGTCCATTAAGAGCCATATGACCGCTCTAATGGCTACCGGAAAATTCATCGGTATACCTTCGCTATCGACATTGAAAAATTGATAACAATTGCCTTTCTGAATACTGAATACTGAATACTGTATTATAGAGCAAGTAGAAATGGATTCTGTACAACTCTTTCGAAATATTGTGAAAAACATTATAATAGTTGCCAACCGTGAATATCCTTGGCGTTCTCATGTAATATTTAAAATATTCGACTTACGATATTTCAGGATTCACAAATGTGATATTTCATCGTAAGTATGCAGTCGTTCTCTGAATCGAATAGAGGCAAAATGCAAATCTAACAACGTTTTGAACTGTTGCACTGATGTTGCCTCAATCACATGTTCGGGCAAACTATTCCAAACGTTTACCACTCTCCGTTCGAAGCACAGTGGGTGGGGAGCACGTTTCATATCCGGCACAACAAGTTTGTATCTGTGTCCGCGTGTGCTGCATGGCCCTCGTAAGTGCAGCATTGGCCTTAGCATGGAGAACTCACCGAGATGTAGAATACGGTAGGTCATACTGAGGTCGACTCGCACCCGACGGTAGGACAAGGTGTAGAGTCCTAGTTTCTCGCACCGGTCTTCATACCCAAAGCCACGTAAACTCGGGATGAGCCTGGTAGCAACGTGTTGGACCCGTTCGATCTTTTGTGCCTCGCCTCGGGTAATCGGAAAGTAGGCGGGCGAACCGTACTCTAGCATTGGTCTAATGATAGCAGAGAACAGGCGAGTGGCAACCTCTTCAGACCATGTGCAGAAGCTACGTTTGAGCGCCCAAAGCATGCGCAGTCCGTTCCGATATAGCCTGTTCGTGTTGTCCACGGACTTCAAATCGTAGCGTGAGAGTACACCTAGGTCCTTCACGGAGGGTGTGGGATATAGCGTTTGGCCGTCAAGGGTGTAGGTTCGGCCGTCTGCACCCTTCCCCAGGCTCATAAATACTGACTTGGCTGGGTTGACCGGGAGAAGAACTTCTGCAGACCATGTGGATAAGCGGTTGAGATCTTGCTGAAGTAGGCCACAGTCGTCGGAAGCGTCGATTTCTCTCCAAATCTTCATGTCGTCCGCAAACAAGGCACACGGCGACCGGAGAAGCTGCGGTAGATCGTTGATGTGGATCAGGAACAAAGTGGGCCCCAGCACAGTGCCTTGAGGCACGCCACTTGTAGAGGGCTACCAGTCAGTTAGATGGTCGTCGACCTGTACCCTCCACTTTCGTCCAACAAGAAAGTCGCGGATCCACCGGTGCAGTGAGCCACCGACGCCACACATGCTGAGTTTGTGAAGGAGAACCTCATGACTGACCTCGTCGAACGCTTTACTGAAATCGATGAATATCACGTCGACGGACTTCCCCTTGTTTATTGCGTTCAACCAGTCATGCCTCGTCACAAGCAGGTTAGTAATGCATGAGCGACCTTGCATAAAACCGTGCTGTGCGGGCGTCAGGACCTCGTTTGACTGTAGCAACTGCAGCAATCTCTTCTTCACGATTTTCTCAGCAACCTTTGCCAATATAGGTGTCAGACAAATTGGCCTGTAATTGTCTACTTTGCTAGGGTCGCCGCCTTTCGGAATAGGCTTCACCACCGCACATTTCCAGTCAACCGGCAACAAACCTTCGGAGAGCGACCTGTTAAAAAGGTCAGTCACGATAGGAGAGAGGATGGTTGAAAGTGACTTGAGAACCAGTGGGTGAAGCCCATCAGGTCCGGCAGGTTTGGTACCGTCAAGGTTGGCGAGTAGTTGAGCTACCTCTTCGACGCCGCAATGTAGACTATCAAGTTCGGTAAAAGCGGTACACGTCGAACTCGGAACAGACACCTGGTTATTCGCAAATACAGAAGCGAAGTGCGCAGCCAACGCGGACGCACGCTCAGTGCTGGAGGTTAGGGGCTGTCCATCCGTGCCATCCAGCACTGGCACATCACCCGCCGGCTTCAGGCGTCGCTTCACGTATGCAAAAATTCTCTTTGGGGCGGTTTTCGCGGCTAATGCGAGCTGCTCTTCAAAGTGTCGGCGTTTATTCTTTTTTGCACTGTTGCAGAGATTCCGCTGACATTTATACCCTTCGTAATCATTGGCAGAGCCAGAGAGAAGGAATTTGTCCCACAGTCTGCGCCGCCTCCGAGCCAGGTTTCCATACTCCTTATCAAACCAATGAGGCTTAATCGGTCCAACCTTTCGACATTTCAATGGCACAAATTTGGAACACAATGATGTCAATCTCTCTTTTATAAATATCCAACAATCTTCCACAGATGCAGTTTGTGACAGAGACCAATCCAGTAGGCTCGCGGCTCGAGCAAGACCATCGAAGTCGGTTTTCCAGTAGTTGGGAGCTGGTTGCAGCGGATGTGAATACGGCAAAGATAATTCCATATCAGCTATCAGTACTGAGTGGTCGCTCGTAGCCAGGGGCTCCAGAATCCTAACGTCACGCACTCGTTGTTCGTAGCTCGTTAACATCAGGTCGAGACAGGACGAGGTTGAACGTGTTGATATGCGTGTTGGCTGGCATATGTGTTGCGATGCACCAGTTTCAAGTACCAAATCCACGAACTTTGCTTCAACCTCACCATGTCCAGGCATCAAATGCACATCAGGTCATCGTATTCGAGGACAGTTAAAATCGCCCATAAGCAGAAAGTGTGGACGACTCATGTGGGTCCGAAGATGGGGCAGCCAATCCAAACAACGACTCAGGGGACTGCGATAAACTGCGCCCACAAGCAGTTCTCCGCGCCTGAGGCGGATGGAGCACCACAGTAGCTCACACAGGCCATCGTCACTTCGGTAGGTGCTCACAAGTCTCCCACGCAGGGAAGACCGGATGTAAAGTAAGACACCACCGTGGGCATTCTTTAGCCTATCGCATCGGAAACACGAGTAACCGTTGAGTTCAAGTTCTTGGGTGTATAACTCTGCATGCAGCCATGTCTCTGCGAGTCCCACTATGTCTGGCCGCTCAGATGCAACGAAACAACAAAGCTCATCGCGCTTATTCATAATACTGCAAACGTTTGTGAACGCTACTCGCAGGCCGCAGCAGGAGCCACCGGGCGTGCTTGAAGTGTGAGCAGCCTGTTTATCCTGATTCGCGGATTGTTGGAAACCACCCGAAAATTTACGATACGAAGATTTGTTTCCCCCTCACCAGTGCGTCTTTTCAACTCAATGATGGCAGACTTGAGCCGCTCCCTGTCTACTGGGTCCAGGTCGGGACGAACATGGATCTTCAAACCTTTCAGCCTACTTAGGCGAGACATGATAAGTCTTGGACTGACTTCGTGCACAAAAGTGATTCTCATAGGCCGATTTTGTTGATCACCTTGCTTTCCAAGACGGGTAATCTGCCTCACTTTTACCGAGTCCTCACCAGCGTCGAGGAGTCTATCAATTAGACCCTGTAAAAACTCGACATCGTGATCGTAGCGCACGTGGGGTGATGGATCACTGGACTCCGGTGCGTGAAAGATCACGAGATTATAACGCCTCTGGTCGGACGAGGTTGGCCTTGCAGGGCGAAGTATACTACCAGCCTCAAGTGGTTTGGCTAACCGTTGACTTACAGAACGTAAACGCCCAACGTTCCTTCGTAATTTCGTCCTCTGATCTTTCCACTGGTCTTCAGCACTTAGACTTTCACCTGCTGGGACATCAGTGTCCGGTGGACACAACAAAGGTAAACAATTTAGCCCAGGTGCAACTGGGCTTCTCACAACGGTTGAACTTGGTGTCAGTGAGTTTGCACGGGTAGAGGAGGACGACTGAGCCGAAATCTGAAGGCTCTTCGCGCTAGGTTGTTGGGCCACACACACGGAGCTGTTCGCAACGAAACGCTGAGGACTACACGTCGGCTTTACTCTTTCTGGCGGTAACGCGGTCGCTCGACTGTTGTCTTTGACTACCAGTGTAGTTGCTTTGTTTGCTAGACCATTTCCTTAACGAATTCATTGAACGTGATTCACTCTTTATTGGATAACTGGATGGTCCTGGTTCACATCATTCGCTGTTAATTTTGTAGTCAGTACAATTCTACGCATAGCCCATCTCATTGATTAAACTCATCGTTAAAGACGGAGAAACGGAAAATTCG